ATATTTGCAGAGGTCTTGATAATGTGAACGATCATCTCCTAATTCTTGTTTGGAAAATTAATCTTCTGCTTTTTTAAAACATGGTGCAGTGTTTTAGAAATAGGGTCAGTGGTTAGTGCCTGTTTTAGTCTTTGTAAATCTACCTGAGGGTCTTCCCATGTGGCGCTAGTGATAAAGAACCCGCCTGTCAAAGCAGGAGACATAAGAAATGCAGGTTCAATCCCTGGGTTGGGAAGATCCCCTGGAGGAGGGCATGGCAATCCACTCCAGCATTCTTGCCTAGAGAATCCCATGGACAGAGGAACCTGGTGAGCTACAGTCCATAGGGTTGCAAATGATCAGACACGACTGAAGCGACTTAGCATGCATGCACACAAACCTACCAGAGGGGATTGGTTAAGGAAATTATGGTACTTCAATGCAGTGAAATATATTCAATCATTAAAAACAAGGTAAATATCTGCCTAGAAATAAGTTCCTGAAAATACTGTTAAGCAACAACAAAACCCCAAGTTACAAAACAACACCTATAGGGTGAAATAAATCGGCAAACTCTTACGTGTAGAAAACAAGACAAGACATTGAAGTGTAAACAGCGGCTGCTTCTGATAGTCGGATTATGGGTGTGTGCTCTTCCTTCATTTTTCATGGCTGCATTTTCTACAATGATCATCTATCACTTATGTAATAATGGAAAGGTACTAAGAGATTGTTTTCATTTGAAAAGGGGAGTGGAAAAAACGGGATCCCACTGAAGGTCTTTAGACCCTGCCAGCCCCAGGGGAGGAAGGTGAAAGGGCTTCCAGGAGACAAGCAGAGGGCTGGCACTCTTGGCTCTGACTCTGCATCTCCCAGGGTGTTGGTGGCTCTTGGGCTGCAAGAAGGCCTGGAGTGCTACAGTCCATGGGATTGCAAAGAAAGCCTGAAAGCCAGAGTCGTCTCCTCAGAGTGAGATGTACCCACACCCCCTCGTGTCCATGGGAGAACCAAAGCCTTCGCTCTCATTTGGCTCCTGCCTCACACCACTTCTCTTGACGGATCACACACTCATTCCTCAGGCACTGAAGAAGCTCCCTGGCTTGGTGACCAGATGTCGGCCCAATGTGGCCACTCTCTCCCCACCCTGGGAGCCTGAGGCACCACCAGGGCAGGAGGTGCTGGTCTGGAGGTCATCAAACCTGCCCCCCTCCCCACCACCCCCACTACCAGGCCCACTGCCCCATGGCCTGGAGGCTCAGTTCAGTTGCTCAGTCATGTCCAACTCTTTGCAATCCCATGGACCACAGCACGCCAGGCCTCCCTGTCCATCACCAACTCCTGAAGTTTACTCAAACTCACGTCCATTGAGTCGGTGATGCCATCCAACCATCTCATCTTCTGTCGTCCCCTTCCCCTCCTGCCTTCAATCTTTCCCAGCATCAGGGTCTTTTCAAATAAGTCAGTTCTTTGCATCATGTGGCCAAAGTACTGGAGTTTCAACTTAAGCATCATTCCTTCCAATGAATATTCAGGACTGATTTCCTTTAGGATGGACTGGTTGGATCTCCTTGCAGTCCAAGGGACTCTCAAGAGTCTTCTCCAACACCACAGTTCAAAAGCATCAATTCTCCAGTGCTCAGCTTTCTTTATAGTCCAACTCTCACATCCATACACAGGTTCCCGAAAACAAGGCCAACAAAGCATACTCAGACCACTCATCTCCAGGAGCACATGGACCTCTGTGAAGTTAACTCACGCCTCCGCCCTCCCAGTCATGGTGGAAGGACCAGGGGCACAGGACTGCCAGTCACTGAAGGTAGTACTTTCACTCAGCACAACAGTGATGCCATCCCTCAAAGGTCCTGGGCGGGATACAAGAGAGCTGCCTCTGCATGTGGCTGAGGGTCCTGGTGTAAGTCAGCGGCCTTTCAGAGACTGGTCTCCTTCCTGGTCATAAAAGCAAGGAGTTGCAGAAGAAGCTCCCCGGCTCTCCCCCATCGCTCAGACATTCTATGATGCTCTTTGGGTGTCAAGATACAACGCACATGACATTCTTCTTTGACAGCAATTGGACCACAGCAACGCCATATTCCCACTTCCTTCATATTTCAGGATTAGCCATAGAGTTTTGAGAAAGAGAATCCTCACCAACATGGAGTGTCTCTACCACACACACACACACACACACACACACACACCAATGTCACAGCTCAACCCCATGAAAGGCCTGCAGAGTTGACTCCAAACCAAGGACACAGAAAACTCCAGTGACAGTGACAATGCCCTCACTCAGCTCCCTAAGCCCAGGGACGCCACTCTGTCCTCTACAACCGCCTGCTGGAGGAGGCCAGTTTGGGGCTGACATGCCCACAGCCAGATGGACATGTTTGCCTTCCAAGACAGTTCATGGACAAACCGCTTCCGCCTGGCACATGCTAATCAAGGGACGGAGGACCCGGAAGATGTGAGTCCCTGTGCCAGCCCCTCACTTCCTAGCCCCCTGGGGTCCTCATGCACAATGGGGAAGGGGGTGATGGTTCCGATGGGGCTGCGTGAGGCTCAGCCACAGCAGCAAATGTCACCACTTCAGAATCATGAGACTTCTCAGCGCAATGTTCTGAACTGGCCTCTCAGGAGAGGCGGAGAGGCCATCTCCTCGCCAGGCCCCCCTCATGGGTGGACCAGCCCTGGGTGTCCCTTGAGCGGGCATTGCGGGCTGCAGGGCTCGGGATGGTGACAAGGAGGCCTGGCCCAGCCGTGGTGTGATGTCCATCACAGGGGACCAGCAGCTTGCGCCGTCTCTGATTTATTACTTTTTTCCTTCTTGGTGGTCCCCAAACAGAAACAGATGACAGACCATAAAAAATGCTGTAAAGCGATCAGAAAAGCCAAGGAGATGCAGAGCGACTCCAACAGGGATGTTCTCCGGTTACAGGAAGATGAGCTTTCCCAGTGCCTCTGTCTACTAACGGAAGGCCCGCGCCCTTGTCTGCCAGTTCTGAACAGAACATAATTGAAACAGGCTGGGTGGCCACTCCTCCAGAAGGCCCCTGAACTGCCAGAGGGAGAAAGCATTTGGAAAAGATGCCCGTCAGCTCTTTCTGCTTCTTCCTGGCCCACCTCCCTCCTACTTGGCCTGTGTGGGCTGGGCAAAGAGCGAGAGAGGTGGCACAGCTCTGAGCTAGACAAGCTCCTGAAAGGGCAGGGAGCCTCCACTGGGCCATTTTTCAGGCTTTAATTCCACTGAGTGAAACTTCAAAAGGCTTTCCACTTGCTCAGTCCAAATTCCCTCTTTGCCTTGGGCGAACACCGCCCTCCAAGGAGATGGGCCAGCTGATCATCGGGCGGCCTGCTGTGGATGCCAGCATCAGGCTGGGCATTTCCGCTGTACAGAAGCAGAAACACCCACAGATGGCTTCCTTACCAACTGGAGAAACCCAGAAGGAATCAAACGACAGGGCCCAAAGCTTCCCGAGGCAGCGGGCCATTGTGGCCACACACCCAGCTGTGATTCTCAGCTCTGCCATAAAGAAGCTGGCGGCCGTGACCTCCCTGAACCCTGCCCCCCGACCCAAAGGAGGACAAATTCTAGGAACGTCTCCTATGGCACCATATTGAGAATAAACATGGCAGGGACTAACCTGTCCCTGGCCCCAGGCTCTCAGCAGTGTTAGCTGATAATCCCCAGCTCAGAATGCTGGGGCCAGCACGCCCCTGATGCTCTTGAATTTCAGCCGAGAGCAGACTCTGGGGATGCCTGTCCTTGGAGAGCTTCCCTGGGTCCTCCCCACTCTGTTCCCCAGGCATCCTTTCTCTCTCTACAGGTGTTTCTAACTCAGGCTGAACTGTTCTTGCTTTGGACCCCAGGAGCGGAAGACAAGGTCGAGAGGGAGGCATCTTGCCCAGTGACCATCCTGAGGGTCTCTTCTCCACGCATAGATGAGTAGGCAAACTGCTGGGGAGGAGGGGAGCAGGAAAGCCCAGGATGTCCTCTCCCTTGGCCTCCTCCCAGGGGCACAGAGGCCTCACCTGAGTCCCTCTTGTGCCCCACGGGGGCGGTGGCCTTTGCCCCCAGGGCCTCCTCCATTCCAGCTCCATGGAAACCAGGGAGCGCTTCTCCACATTGGTCCCCAGACCCGCCAGCCTAGGCCCTGGGCCTCTGCGGTGGAGGAGACCAGGGTGAAGGGAACCCCACGCCCTGTCCGGGTTCAGCAGCTAGGCTCCCGGAGAGTCTGGGAGAGAGTTTGGCCCCAGGCCCTCTTGAGAGAGTTTTCTTTTATATTTATTAACCCACTTTCTCTCCTGGCCCTTCGGAGCAATGAGGAAACCTCAGCCAAGGCTATTAATAGGCCGAAGCCGTCCCTGGGGAGGACAATGAGCTCAGACCCACAGCACAGGTGCCAAGCATAATGAAGGTTCTTGAGCTGCCTAAATATAGGCTGCGGCCGCGTCAGGGTGCTGAGCACGGTCTGCCTGTGGCCACCCAGCCCAGCTCCCCGCCACCACCTGAGCCAGACCAGGCCCTGCCGAGAAAGGACCTTCTGTCACCCACACGTCCACCCCAGGTCAGACCTGGTGGGGGCCGCTGAGGAAGTGGGGGAGGGGTTGGCAAAATGACATGCAGTATAAATGATGCCTGTAAACAGCGAGTTTAATAAAAAAGGCAGTGAGGGAATTTATGGGCAACCCAAGGATCATTAAAATTATTTATCTACTTACCTCCCTTGCTGGCTGATCAGTCTATTAATTATCTATCATATACGCTCTGATTTGCATTTCAGTGAGAGGACAGGGTGAGGGCAGGTGAAAAACATGGGGGGTCCAGGAACCAAGTGGTGGGGACAGGTGTGGACCCTCCTCTCTACTGACCATAGCTTCCTGGCTGATACCCCTCCAGGCCACATTGCGACACGGATATGCCCCGTCCCCCCGCCCCAGACCCACCCCCGGGCCTCTGAGATGCCCCAGGCCTGAGGACCAGGTCGGGCAGAGCAGAATGTGTGCCGGAAGGGGGCACGCACCTGTTTGCAGACGGCAGCTCCCAGGACAGGGTCCCAGCCGGAGGGGCCTGCAGACCAGCTCGAGGGAAACGCGTGGAGAGTCTTTCTCAGGCAGCTCTGACTTAGCGCTGGGTTGAAAAGAGAAAACACAAGAACAAAACCATTTCAATCTCTGAATATCTGGAGTGCATCAGACACACGCTCTCCCGCACTCTTGATTAAAAATATCACAGGACAGAGTGTCATGGGAACCGCATCCTTTGAACACTGCGACTGGAAGAAAACATTAGGCTGGGGGGAGTTATAATGAGGCGTCCCCGCTTACCCCCTCACAGCGGCAGCCGCTCCCAGCTCTGCTCCCCTGCAGTGAGACTCGGACCGGTCCCTGGGACGCCAGGGGATGGGCCAGCAGGCCAAGGGGTCCGGCTGGCCGTGGCTAGACCTATGGTGGGAGGGTCCGTGTCACCCATTCCCAACTCGGGCCCCAACTCTTCACTCAGGTCAACAGAGCTAGGTTGGGGGGTAAATCATCAGCATCACCCCATTACCGCTGCAGTTCCCCAGCACCAGCTTAGATTCCAGGGGCATGGGGCTGAGCAGGGGCTCTGCCTGGGGCTGCCCTTGCAGTTTATGTACACACTGAACCTCTCTTATCAAAACCTGTGGGGCTCACCACAACCAGCCATGGAAGCCAATGCCTTAAAACAAATCTCTTTTCTTCCTTCCTTCCTTTCTTCCATCTTTCTTCCTTTCTTTCTATCTCTACATGACATCTACTCTCTTTCTATAACTACAGATGTATCTTTGCCTAGCTGTAGACAGATACACACATGCGTGTGTAGATAGATACATACACAGATGCATAGATAGATTGTATTGATTCCATTTCTCTGGAGAACCCTGCCTGGTTCAGGGCTTCTAGCTTGCACGCACTCCAAGAGATCGACCCTATCCACCAACAGCACCAGAAATGCCACTGTCCTACCCCCTGCTCCGCCCAGAAAGCAGTCCCCACTCCCAGGGAAGGAGCTGTGCCCCAGCAATGGTATTAAAGCAGGAAGGAGGAGGAGGCAGCGAGGACCTAGTCGTCTGCTTGAGAACGAGCCGGAACGACCTGGCCCTCCAGAGTCTCCGATGTGACACCCCAGTCCCCGCTTCTGCCAGGGCCTCAAAACCCACCCCTGCCATCAGAGCCAGGCTCCCTGCATTTGCAGGACAGTAGTCTCCACGCCCCCCTCCCCTGTGCCCCCAGCCAGCTGCCCCCTCTTCCCCTGCCTGCCGATGGCTTCTCAATTCTGATGATGTATCAATAACTGCAAAGAAAAATGCCACAGTTAGCAGCGCTACTGTACTGTAACTAATCGCTTTTGGAATCGATTCCCAGGGCTGAGTGTGTGCAGCGAGGTGGGGCTGAGTCCCCGAGGCCGCTGCAGCCCCCAGGAATTAGGCACACCAGGAAAAGTTCCAAGAGACAAAGAAGGGGGCAGGACAGGAAGGGAGGAAGGAGACCAAGAAGAGAGCAGATTTTTTAAAAGACTGTAATACAGAGAGCGAGGGGCTGCCAGTTGCGTCCTGACTCAAGGCCAGGCGAGGACAGAGGGTGACAGGACCTTTCCTGGGATGGGGACACCCCTGAAACCCCAGGCCCAAGCAGCCCGCAAGTCTCGGACCTGGAAGCTCCTCCAAGCATACGCAGACCTCAGGGGTCTCTGGGGCTCACGTACTTAAAAGATTGCATTGGCTTAATAAACCATGTTGCTACCGCTGCCGGGTCATTCTCGGGCAAGCACAGGAGAGGACTAGGGGAGTGCTTAGTAGCCGCTCCCGCCTCCCCAGGAAGGGGAGAGGGGGCAGGAGATCAGTACAGAGGCCTAGGCAGGGCCCTGCCTCTGATCATAAAGACTCTTGGAGCCTTCTTCCTGCTGTAACACATGAACTCTCCAGAGAGAGGGAAACTGAGGCACAGAACCCTCGAACAAAACCACCCGCTGCACCCCCCCAACCCCCACCAAGGTGCAGATTGGAGGCCCAGGGAACCTGGAGCCTGGCTTGTGATGGCCACCCTGTCCTCACTCTTGCTACTGTGGCCTCTGGGACACTTGGTTTCCCCACCTGCTATGTGGACTCTTTAGTAGCTGCCCTTTTTGCACAGACCTGACCTTGCCCTGCCCTGAGCAGGATCACTGAAGGAGGTGGGACAGGCAGGGCCACACCACAGGGCTAGTTTAGGAAAGTGCCAGAGAGGAGACAGGGGCCCCTGTGTGCCTTCTGAGCATGAGTGCCAGGACAGAGCGTTAGTGGGTCCAGTGCCCTGGGGTCCACGCATCACCCACTTGTTCCTTTAGCCACTCCACCCTGCTCCTGTTTACCTCACCGCTTCCCACCCCGGATCACCCAAATCCCCAGGACGGAGCCCCAGGGACTCAGGCCAGAGCTGGGCTGTCTGGGGGTGGAAGGGGCAGAGAGCCCCAGGCAGATAGACAAGTGGGGGGAAGGGGGAGGGGCTGACAGGAAAATGGTAAAGGTCCAGTGTCACCCTCAGGGCAGAGAGGGAGGGCAGGGCCTCCAGTCTCTTCCTGCAAAGAAAGTGCCAAGGCCAGGCCTGAGATCTGCTGTTTGCTTCACTTGCCCAGAGACTGCTTCCACTGGTGATCCCTGGGGACCCCTGTGGCTTCAGCATCTCTCCCAGAGAAGAGGGGAGGAGGCTTGAGCCCACCATATGCCCCCTGGACCAGGGGACACCCCTGCCAATTCTCCTACCTCCTCTGGAAGCCACCCTGCGGCCAAAGGCAGACATCTCCAGACCTCTGTTCACCCTTCCCTGCATCTCCATCCCTCTCCCAGGATTGCTTTGAGGATCCCAGGGTCTGCGGTCCAGACTGGCAGGGCCTGAGGGCTCAGCAGACAGACAGCCTTAGAGGGCAGGGAGGGGTCAGGGCCCTACACAGGCTGCTTGGCATTTTGGCTAGGGAGGACAGGGGTCACGATCACTCCTGAGGTGGGGTGCAGGCACTGGGGGCCTAACAGGGAGTCCAGACATTGATGAATGGTTTTCTTAATTTTTAAAAAACAAGTAGAACCATTTGAGGTCTTGCCCTAAATCTTTCCGGGGAACAGATTGCTTTCCCAAGCAGGAGAGTAGTGGACGGAGTAACCCACAGTTCCCCAGGAGCAGGCAGAGTCCCAAGTCTGCTGGTAAACAGAGGGAAGGTGTGCAAGAATCAGGGGATTCAGAGTAAAGTGAGCCGCCACTTCTCAGCTCTCTTGTGGACAAAAGTAGACACGCCTAGCAATCTCAGTGAGGATAGACGAGACAGCTGGTGGAGCACGGGCGGGTCCAGACAGTTGGAGAGCTGTGGGCAGGATCTGGAATATTCTAAAACCAGCCGCTCACAACCAGGTATCATCTCCAGGACCAGAGGAAATGAGCACAGAGAACCGTGCATCTGTCGCAATAGCAATGCCACTGCTGTTGGTTCCGGACAACCAGAGCGTTCGTCAAGGACAGAGGGGCAGGAGACAAAGCCGTAGATTCCTAGGACAGATTTCTCCACAATGGACAAAAGGAATGGATCAGAAATGCACAGAGGAGCTGCAAAAACACAAAGCCGAAAGGAGCAAGTTGCAGAAAGAGGTCACGTATGTGCGCTTTAAGAAGTGGGGGAACTAAAAAAAAAAAAAAGTGGGGGAACTATGGTCTCTCTGCTCTTCGTGGTTATATGTGTACAAGTGTGTTTTCAAGGGACGAAATGATGGACACCACGTTGATGCTCAGAGCCGCCTCTGGGTGTCGGGTAGGGGGATTGAGGCTGGGGCTGCAGAGGGGACTTGACCTCCATCTGTAATGCTTTTTTTTTTTTAAAACAGTGCCCCATAACTAAATGTCAATCGTTGTTAACTGCAGTAGAGAAACATAGATATTTAATATGTTTTACCTTAATTGTCGTTAAGTCTCCAAAACTTTTCTAGATAAGCATGGTTAGATAGAAGCCCCTTGAGAATGACACGTGTACAGTCACTCAGTGGTAGCGCAGTGTTTTACGCCCTCAGCGGCTCAGCGGAAATCCGCGGCCTGGGTGGATGAACAGATGAATGACATACGTGACAGGGACTCCAGAAGAACCAGATCTGCCCTTTCTGCTCTCCCTCCACTTAAAGGACAATAAACTAGTCTGGAACTGTCTCTTCTACTGCACGCTGAGATCTTCTTTAGAAACCACCAGCCTAAGCAGAAGCTGTTGCATTCCAAACGAGGGTCCTGGGTGTGGGGACGATCAGTCTCCAGATGTTCTGGAGTCTAGACCATCTGTGTTTCCAAGAACTTGGGTTCTCACATCCTTTTCCCTCCTAAAATGCAAGGGGAGGGCACAGAGCCTGGGGGACCCAGCGACCGTCCTCTGAGCAGAGTCTCCCCTCACGGGGACGAGCACCACAAGATCCTGACTGCTCAGAGGGCTTCTTTGCTCCCTGGCAAGCAAAGATCTTCATGCAGTCAAGGAACCCAGAGTGACACAAGAAGGGTCAGCAGGGTGGCTGTTCAATTACGAGGGCCGAGTCCTGGGAGCTTTCTGGCAGGCCTGCTGCACAGGCAGAAATCCATCCAGGGCGATTTACCCTGAGAGCTGCCATCCTTTATCCACTGGGTTGCACAGGTACGCTTGCCCAGGTCCTCCAGTGTGTACTGGACACAATCCAGTGAGTGTGCCTCGGTGGGCAGACGTGCCCCTGGCTCTGGCTCTGATCTTATACACGGCTCCACTTTCTGTGCTACAAGCTAATAAAAGCTGCATGATCAAACTCCAAGTCATTACTCAAGGAAAGGGACCCCTCTGTGGTTGCCAGCCACAGTTTTGAACCAATTAAAATCAGCCCGGCGTTTCTGCGGGCTGCTGCCGTGCCCGCCACCCCGGAGGTCTCGGAGGGCCCATGCCCGCCATGAGCAAGATGCACGAAATGTTAATGGAGACGCTTAAATGCCATGTTGAGGGGATTCTGGTAAATAAGGCCACACGGAAGAGGCTGGGGGATAAGTCTCCTGAGCTAACCCTGGAGGAAACTTCAATAAAACGAGATTGGATTGAAAACAATTCACTCTGTCTGCTGGCAGAACTGGGAACGGTCTTTGGGG